ACAGGGCTGGTGCCACAGGCAGAAAAGCAGAGCTGGAAGTGGCACCGCCAAGCATTAGCACTCTGCCAGGAGCCCCGCACATCTACCCCACTTGTGTGCACCTGTCACCTGCCACACACTGTGCACCCGCGACCTCGCTCGATGGTCATGACAACTGCCAAACTAGGTAGGGCTGCTGCCAAAGGAACTTTAGGTAGAGAAAGTAAAGGTCAGAAAGGTTGAGGAATGAGTTCAAGGTCACACAGCTAAGAGCAGCAGAGCCAGGATGCAGTGACAGCAGAGAGACGGGATGGTCTTCCAACTGCCACCAGGTTTGTGCAGGGTGAGGAGGGGGTGGCAGCCCCGGTCCTAGCACCTTCTTTCTATCTCTCTCTGTCATTCTTGTCCCGCCAGGGAGCATTTGCTTTAGTAAAGCCAGAGAGGCAGGACCCAGCTCTCCTGCAGAGGCCACCCCACCCCGGACGCCAGCAAGCTGTGTGCGGAGCGCCCCTGGGATTCCTAAGCCTCCTGCCAGGTCAGAGGCCAGCTGTGCCCGTGTCCCTGCTGGAGGAGGCTGGGAAGTAAATGGCAGGTGACTGCCGTCTTTTCTCCAGCTCGCCAGGCATCGTGAGGCGAGCTCAGCCAGGGGAAGGGCCGGGAGGAGCCTCCTGCCGTGCGGACACAGTCAGGAGAAGCTGGTCAAGCCTCCCTCACGGAATTCCTCATGGCAAGAAAGAGCATTCAGAAGTGACCACCCAGGTTATCCTTCTAGAATTTAAAGCTGAAAGATGTTCCTCCCACGACACGTCACTTAAACCCATGGCTGTGTCGAGGTGAGAAACAGCTCCGTGGATTGCGGCTGCTGCGTGCGAGACAAGGCCCGAGCCGCGTCCCCCTCTCCTTTCACGAGGCAGGGTCCTCCTACTTTCCAGAACGCCCTGCGGGCTGGCCAGACGGCGCTGGGTCCCACCGCGGTCCCGAGACCACAGCTGCGGAAGGAGCTGCAGGTCGTGAGCAGCTGAGGCTGTTCTGACGGGCCGCGGCCTCTTGGCTGCGGGGTCTCAGGGCCGGCAACGGCCACGGCCTGTGCTGTGTCTGCGCTCGCCCTGCACCCGGCTCTGCGGCGTCGCCGAGCGGCGGGAACGCCACTTCCTTCTAGGGCGAGGCTCACCCCGAGAACTGGAGGTGCTCAGACGCGTGACCCTCTTTGGTACAGAGGGGAGGTAATCGTGATGTGAGAGTGCCTGGTGGCCACCGTGGTGCCAGCTGCTCTCTGGCTGAGCAGTAAGCACAGATCGGCTGGACTCGGAAGCACTGGGCTTTCTCCTTGGCGGCCTCTGAAAGGTACAGACCCAAGCTGGAGTTTAAGCAGCAGAAAAAATATAGCCAAACAGGACCATGGAGTGGAAAAAGCAGTTCTTGTATTTCTACCATGTACTTGGTGCTTTTTGTATTTGCTCTTTAATGCTCGCAGGACCTCAAAGTAGGTGGGAGCTGTTATTAGTCCCATATCACAGGGGAGGAAGCTAAGGCCCGGGCTTGCTGAGAGATGGCAGAGCTGGCCTGTGAGCCTGCATTTGCCTGTCCTGTAGCCCTAGCAGGCTTTGCCTGGGGCAGCTTCTGGAAGGTCTAAGGAGCTGGATGAAACCTGTGTGCCTCCCTGGGCTCGCTTGGCTCTTCCAAGGAGGATTTTGACCTTTGTCTCGTGGCATGGCCTCCTTCCTAGAGAATCTGCTGGGTGCTGCCAGGGGTTCTGGGGATGGGAGGTGGTTAGGACAAGCCCTGGGCTTTGGCCTCAGATCTCAAGTTTAAATCTCAGCCCCTTGCTAACTGTGCATCCTGGGCAAGTTGCTGCACCTCCCTAAACCTCAGTGCCTGCCTCTCTGAAGGGCTCACAAGACCTCCGCACTGGGTGAGGGAGACTAAAGCCGGAGAGACACTTGGCTCTGCACATGGAGGGTCAGCCTGTGCCTGCCAGGAGGGAAGTGGCGGCTGGAAGTGGCTGTGATCCGCGGGTTTAGTTCAGTGGGCCGAGCTCCGGCCCCTCGACCTCTGCAGCCTTGGGCCTGACCTGCCTCTGAGAGAGGCTGGCAGGGCCAGGCGAGGGGACAAGCTGGGGGTGCTGCTGCGGCCTGGTGGCCTCAGGCCAGGGCAAGCCAAGGGGCAGCTGCACCATGACCTGGCTGTGACCCGGCCCTAGCAGGTGGGGCTGGGTGGTGCCAGGTCGGAAACCAGGCTCTGGACCCACAGGGAGCCGGGGAGGGCGGGGCAGCCTTGGGGAGCCCTTCAGAGGCTCCCTCAGCCATCTAGGAGCCCCTTTCCCTGCCCCAGCAAGCTGCAGGAGGAGGCTTTGAGATGGCAGGGGAAGGGGAAGGGGCTCCTAGACTGCTAAGGCAGAGACAGACCCTGCCCGTAGCCCAGACTCGCAGTCCCTCGCCGCTCAAGCCCACCCAGAGGGCCTCTCAGGGAAGGGTGGAACAACTGAGCAAAGGAAGAGGGCCCAGAGTGCGAGGCCCCTGCGGTTCCGCAGAAGCCATGTGTGGGCACCTCCGTGGGATCTGGAAGCCCTTCTGGGGTCCTGGCTGCCTGAGCCGGGCTCACGTCCTGTGGGGCTGACCCTGACCCTCAGGGGTCCGCCATGCAGAGAGAGGAGGACGCCAAGGAAGGCCCCCACTGTCCCAGGCCACGGTCCAGAGGGCTCTGCCTTCCCCTTCCTGCTGGCAGAGGTCTCCCAGGGTTGGGGAGAAAGCCACCTGGGTCGCAGGCCCTTGCCGTCACACGCCCCAGGCCAGCCACGCAGGCGCAGAGGGGAAGGCGTGTGCACCAAGCCGTCTCCCGGCGCCCCTAACTGCGGTCTGGAGGAGCCGCTCCGCCTTCACCCGGCGCCAGGAGGCCGTGTATCATTCACACCGTCCCTGTCACACGCACAGCCCTCCGGGGCATGTTCCAGAAAGACTTACGCTGGGGCGACACATCTCGGCACCAGCATGGGCTCCACATGCCCACTTCTGGCTCTTTCCTGACTGTGCCTCCACTGAGCCCTGTCCTTCCCCCTCCGTACCCCACCAGCTCGTGTGGTGAACCCTGGAACCAAGTAGACATTAAGACGTGTTTGGGTTTTTCCAACTAGCCGTTAATAAATGAAACATAAGGTTGAGTCAAGGGCTCTGCGCTGGCTGGGTTTGGGGACGTGGGGCTTACCGCCTCCAGTGAACAAAAGACCGAGGCCCACTCCAGCCCCTGTGCTCCTGCTGGGGGCACTGAGTGCCTGCGCTGGCCTTCTCTTACAGCCCTCTGCCTCCCCCACAACCCTGGGCAGATGGAGTGAAGTCCCGAGAGCCAATGAGGAAGACGGCCCAGTCCTGGCACCACTGGCAGGTTTGAGCTACTGAGATTTCTGGCGGAGGTGGGAGGAATAGGGCTATTTCAAGACATGGGGCTTCTCCTCTTCAGTAAGGGTCTCCAGGGCTTCCTTAAGGCCAGGGGCAAAGAAGCAGAAAATGCAGACGCTTGCCCGTGTCCTGGTGATTAGGCATCGATGTAGAGGATGCAAAGCTGGCTCTGGCCTTCCCTGTCTCCTTCAGACAGTTCTCTCTCCCTGGGTTTCCAGGGGACTCAAGCCCCTCTGCTTCTAGGATGTGCTTTCCACCAGGCCCCTTCCTCCCAGAGAGCACACTGGCTCACTTCCCAACGAGCTCTGGTCACCCACCAGCAGGCATAATTGTTCCACCCCAAAGACCCAGGGGCAGATGCACGTTGGACTTGGTCACCAGAGATGGCTATTTATAAACCACCCGATAAGCACAATCTGCCCAGCGGCCCAGGCCACACAGATACGCTGTGCATCTGGTGATACCACAGCTAAACTAACCCTCCCAGCACCACAGTGGCAAACTGGGTATTTTGTATACCAGCCAGACCTGAAAAATGGGCCCAGGCAGGGCAGGAGGCGCTGGTCCAGCCAGCCACTGGTCCTGAAGCGGCTGGCACACAGCCTATTCTAAGCAAGAACTTTCACTGGTTTTTAATACATTTTGTATTGAATAGACCCACACTGAGAAATGTTCTTGTACTGCAGAGGTCGGCAAACTTTTTCTGTGAAGGGCCACATGGTACATGTTTTCAGTTTTGCAGGCCATGTGGTCTCTGCTGGTGCAGTGGGAAAGCAGCCACAGACAATATGCAAATGAATGATCGTGGCTGTATGCCAATAAAACTTTATTTACAAAACCAGACACCCAGCCTATAGGCTGTAGTTTTCCAACCACTACCATACAGGGAACTCCAATGCTGGAAAGCCGGGCCTCATTTAATATGCACATTTGTTTAATCTGTTCTCCAGGTTCCTACCCTTACGAAGGTGTTTTAAAGTCCTGAATAGTAATTCTCCTTTCTAGCTTCCCACACTTAGTCAGCATAGCTCTTCTCAATCAATGACCAATTCTCCTCCACCAGAAAAAACTTTGGAGTTGTCAAGTCCACCCTGCGGGCGTCTGCTTGGGCCCCTCCCAGGGTGCGTGAGAACGGGCAACCCGTGGAGAGTTTGTTTTGGGTACACATGTGCCCATGGAGTCCATGAGCCACTATGTCCGGATCATCAATTTTTCTCTGTTACAGCTCGTATGACCCTGCCAGGCCAAGACCTGGGGGAGACCAGAGAGCCAGCCTCAAAGCCTGTGACCATGGGGTCACCCCCGTTCGGCAATGCAGGGCCCTCAGGGCCCTGGGCACATCCACAGGCGTGTGCTCACTCAGCCGTGTGGGAAAGAGCACCCTGGCAGTGAACATATAAGGACAAAGTCTCCGTGTATGTACTACAGCCGCTGTACACGGTCCACGAGGCACATCCAGCATACCAAGAACCCCCGAGCCCAGTGACCCTTGACACACACGCCACCCTGCACAGCACCCTGGCGCTGAGTGACGCCCCGGCACACCACCGGCCCGGCACGAGCGGCCCTGCTGCCATGAGCCTGGGCCTCCCTGCCCACGCCACGGAGCAGACAGCGTCCGGACTGTACCTTCCGCTCTCCGTGTGTCCCGGCCGTCCGCTCTTCAGGCTGCCCCAGGAACGAGACACCCAGCTCTGCCCAGCAGCCAGAACTTCTTCCCTCCTCAGCTGGGCTGCCCGGAGAAGAGAGGAGAGGAGAGTGGATCCAAGCCCAAGCCTCCTGTTTCCCACAAACCTGCCCGTCTGAGGAAAATCAGTGCCCAGAAGCCTGCCAGACGCTGGAAGTCTGAGAAGCTTACCTAAATAGAGACCAGCCGGGGGAACCAAATGGAGCTCGTGGTGGGGAAGAGGCAAACAGTCCCACTGCAACACCCGCGTGGTGTCAAGTAACAGTCAGATTAAACAAACAGCCTCAGCAGCTATTTTTACATCCAGATCAGCCACGAGTAACAGATAACTCTGGGAGTGAGAAGTCGCTGCTGCCTGCCTGGACCCTCACCACGATTCCAACGTCAACTCAGAACGATTTCTAACGCCATTCCAGCACCTAGAGTCAAATAAAAATATTCCAAGGTGGGAAGTGAAACATTTGTTTGGGGAAATCTTAAAAACAGGAGAGTGTGTGCCTTGGAGCCAGCGCCCGGAGCCTGTGAGGTCCCGGGGCAGAAATAGCCCGTTTCATCATCGGCCCTGGACGGCCACAGCTTGCATTCCTCGAGTAAGGAGCCATGCTCTGCCGTGCTTTTGGAGCAAAGTAATACGCCCAGCTGCAGGCTGGGGGAAGGCCAGGCTGGGTTTCAGGGTGAGAGTTGCAGAAGGATATGGAATAGTCGGGGAAGAAGCAAGGTAAGTCCACTTGGTGAGCTTGGCCGTGGCAAGCTGTTTGCAAGGTCCAAGTCGAGTGGACAAGTCCTGTTCTGCCAGGCAAGAGCTCCCCCTTCCATCTTTGAGAGGGGCTGGCCCCCACAACCCTGAGATGGGCTTGTATCTGCCTTCCCAATAGCTACTTTCTGTCTCGGCCTGTGGTGACCTGCTCCCCAAACTGCCCACAGACCCCCAAACTTCCTCCACCTGCCATACTTTGTTCGTACTGTGCCAGCTCCCGGGTTGCCCTCCTTGCCCTCCCAAGCTGGCCCCATAAGAGTCTGCTCACTGCCAGGATTTAATGCAAGACTCTTTCTTTCCTTCTTTCTTTCTTTCTTTCTTTCTTTCTTTCTTTCTTTCTTTCTTTCTTTCTTTCTTTCTTTCTTTCTTTCTTTCTTTCTTTCTTTCTTTCTTTCTTTCTTTCTTTCTTTCTTTCTTTCTTTCTTTCTTTCTTTCTTCCCTTCCTCATGCTCCCCTCTCCTGTGACCTGAGAAAGTGGAGCTGACTTGTGCCCCTGCGTGCCCAGCTCTGTGCAGTGCTCAAAGCCCCTGGAAGTCTGCAGGGCACTGTATTCCTGGATCTATTTGCAGACTGCCACTTCTGTACCCTGTGGTTCCTCAGGGGCAGCAACCTCTGTTTAGTCCCAGCTCGGGGCCTGGCATCACCTCCAGCCTTGAGCCTGCTGGCGGCCAGAGTCACAGGACCTGGGTCTATGCACTTTTGTCCAAACCAAGTCAGAAAGAACAGCTCCTCATTGCCCTGCAGACCGTGGTGTCAGAGCCCAACCACCTGGGGCATCCAGACCCTCCCACTCCCTGGAACCTAGGGACTTGCCTTTTGCCCTGAGAGCTTCGAGACCTCACTTCAGGGACATCTGCTCACTGCTCAACACTCAGAGCTGGTTCGAGGGAGCCCCAAAGTGAACCCTCCAATTTCTCCCACCCACCCACATCCCCTGCTTGTCAAAACAAACACCAGCCTACTTGGCAGATGAAAAACCATCAACTTAAGACGTGAGCCAACATTTTAAAATAGTACCCAGGACTTGGAGCCCTGGCTCCATTATTTCCTAGCCATCTGACTTCGTCAAATACTTACTTGACCTTTCTGAACCTCAGTTTACCCATCTCTGAGGTGGAGAGTGTGCCCATGCTCTGTGGGTTGAGGACCAGAGGGGCTCATGTACACACATGTTCCTATATTGCGAAGCTTCCCAAATAGTAGTCATTTATTTGTTATTTTTTTCCCCATTTACCCCAGGATTTTTGACATATCCTCAACCATCTGTATCAACATTTACTTAATATTTTGCTTTAAAGAAAATTTAAATCGATATGCTTTTTAAAAATTTTGAACAGAATTTTATGAGCAACAGTAATACCTGAGAAATCATGGATTTGATATTAAATTGTTTCCCTAGTACACACTGAAACAAATTTATACCGAGTTCCTGTGTCATCTGTCTGACCCCAAGCGTTCTGCCCCAGGTGTCAGGAGACACTGCGTCGCTGCGCGCACTTTGTGGAGCAGGTCGCTTCGGGCGCGCGTAACATGAGCACAAAGGGTCGGCAGGGCCCCCGCGTCTCCCCCCTTGCCCTCCTCGGTACCTTTCTCCCCCAGCCCGCTCTTAATGCTTCCCAGGCGGAGAACATGACCTCGCGTTTTGTTTGGGACCCTAGAAGTGGCGGGAGCTGACGGTGTTTGCTGGGAGTGGCTGATGGAGCAAGGAGCACCAGGGGAAGAGGATGACGAGGGGGCATTCAGGGGCCGGGCGGCAGCAGGCGGCACTGTCCGTGATGTCTGCACTAGGGATGGGGGAGAATAACAAAACAGTTGGCCCAGCAAGGGCCTGTCCCAGGGCAGGCAACCCTTGGAGCGTGGCCTGGGCACTGCCGACCCCTGCGGAATCTGCTTTCTCTCGGAAAATGCCTCCACCTGGCCCGTGCTACAGACCCCCACGTCCGCACCAGTTACAGTGGGTACACTGGTGTGGATCACCCCCAGCAAGAAAACACAGCCAGAGAGCTCAGCCCAGGCCCTAGACCAAGAACTCAGGGTCTGCGTGGCCTGGGGCTGGCATCTGTCTAGGTGACTGACCCAGGAAAGTGACTACTCTCTCCCAGTCCAGGAGCTGTGAGCCGCATGGAAAGAATGTGAATGAAGACACAATTCTAAATGTGGAACCGTGGGTGCTATGTGAGCCAGCGCTCTCGCTGGCTGTCCAGACAAACAAGGCCGCTTGCACACTCTGCAAGAGCGTAAATAAGGCTGTCCTCAGGCAGCGGGCTCACCGTGTCCCGTCCCACAGGGACTGACTGGCTACAACCCTCAGCAAGGGCTCTGGAACACCGTGAGGGCAGTGCATCCGCCTGACAGCGTGGGTAATGGTCTAGCTGGCACCGCGATGCACATGGTGATTGCTAACTTAATTTTGCAGCGGATTAGGAATGTTCTGTATTAATTAGAAATTTCAAAAGCTGGCAATGAGGGCAAGGCTAAATGGGTCCTGCAGGCCAGTTTCTGGTTCTGGGTATCAGAAGCTCACATCTCTGCAAATAACAGGAGGCCTCTCACCTGATTCTTCTACCCCTGTGTCCTGGTTGTATATGGCTACGGCTCCTTGCAGGGAGACACTCTGCATGAGGGCCCAGCTTTCTTTACGAGGCATTTCTGTAGACTTCTTTGGGAGGTTGGCGCACTTCCCTGGTGTGATAATATTAGTAGCAGTCAGAACAGCGGCAGCGTGAACGTGCTCGCCAGCCCCCCAGAACGCTTGCTTGGCCCTGCACGGTCCTTGCGTAAGCAAACCTCCACGCTGTACACTCTTGATCTTTGGTCCCGGCATGATTTTGTTCTGTCCCCATGAATTGCTACCTGTCAGGGAGCCAAGGAAAGACAAGACAAGGGGACCCAGTATTTCCCGAGCGCCACTGTGTGCCAGGAAAACACTTTCTGTGCTTAGCTCCACAGAACCCTCATTCTGCCCCCATATGACAGCAGCTAATGCGTCCTCTTTACAGAGGAGGAAACCGAGGCTGGCAGCCACGGTCCTGGGGTGCCACGCAGCTAACGTGGCACTGAGGATGCACAGAGCGTTCGCCCGCCTGGCCGTCCGGCAGTTTGTTGTCGTTACGCCCCCAGCTCACCACCCCACCAGCGTCCTGGGTTCAGGACGCAGCCTCCTTCAACCCGCAGTGGGCCAGGCCCTCCTCAGCTGCTCGTTTGCTGTGGGAGCCGTGGGGATTCTGTGCTCCGGTGTGGGCACAGTTCGTGGGTGTCCCCAGGGCTGACGGCAAGATGGGCGTCGTGGGGAAGGGTGCTCTGGGGCTCAGGCCCAGCTGGGCGGCTCACCTGCTGAGGGCCTGAGCAGTTGGAGCCCTCCTCCAGGAGCGCCGCTGGTGCCGGGGATGGATGCTGCCTGCTAATGCCCGTCCCACAGCTGGCTCGAGCGGCGGGGCTGCGGGGGAGGGCACTGTTTGTGCTCACAGCTGAGAACAGCCCACAGACCCAGGTCACCGAGGCCCCTTCTGTAGGGCTGCCGTCCTCTCCATCTGACCAGCCTACTTCCAGGGTGGCGACTGTCACAGTCACCCGAGGGCCACCCTGGCCAGGGGCCTCTCCTCAAGGCCTCTCCTTTAGGATTCTTTGCTTAGGACTTTACAATAAAAGGCTTAAACAAAAGAAACAGAACCTTCCTGCGAAACGAAGTCAATCCAGTTTATTAAAACGCTACCAAATGCAACAAAGCCAGGGCGAGCAGCCGGGAGGCCTGTCTCCCCGGGGAGCTGGGTCCGTGAGCTTGCTTTCCCCGCGGAGGCGCCTGGGGCCGGTTGAGCGCAGCTGCTCTACCGAGCACTGCCGAGCACTGCCGACAAACTTTCCTGCAGGAGGCGGCGGCTCTGCAGAGTCTTTGCTGCAGCTGCTCCGCTCTGCCACTGTGGCGGGAAAGCAGTCAGAGACATTCTAAACAAATAGGAGTGGTGAACGCTGCAAATAAAACTTTTAATTTCAGAATTTAAATTCAGAAATTTGGATTTCATGTAATTTCCACATGTCCCAAGTATCTTGTTTTGATTTTTTCCCTCAACTATTGAAACATGTACAAACTGCATTAGATCACAGGCGTACAGACCCAGAGGGCTGGTCTGCCGGCCTCTGCCCTGGAGCCACTCTGCCCACTTCGTGGACACCAACCCCACGTGGTTACGGAGCGTCTGCAACACGGCTCGTCAGGATCGAGATGTGCCGTCAGTGTAAAATGCATCCCGGATTTCAAAGACTTGATGCAAAGAAAACCCTGTAAAATATCTCAGTGATACTATATATTGACTACATGTCAAAATGATAATACTTTGCATATTTTGGGCTTAATGAAGCATTTTATTTAAGTTTATTTTTACAGGTTTCGTTTTGCTTTTGGAATTTGGCT